TCCACTAGGGGAAGTGCCTCTCACCTGCCCCTGCCCAGGATCTTCTGAACAAGTGGCCCCTTACCCCTTCATCACTTCAGGGCAGGATTAAATTGTTATCTTCTGGGTGGATTCTCCCTTCCCTTCTATTATCTCTTTGTCTTCTGTCTCCTTTATACCAGAATGCATTTTTTAAACTATTCATCTTTGTCATGTAAACATCAGATTCAAGTGTGTGAGAGAAACTAGGCCCCTAAAAATCTTCTTTCACTCTGATTGCCGCTGTGCGGACGGTCACCTTCCCGATGGGAGGGTGGTGAGGCCGGGCCACAGGGGGAGCACAGGGGCCACCGCCAGAAGCCTAACCCAGCTCTCAGGGTTCTAAGCGGAGATGTGCCATAAACACCCTAGTCTGAGGACACAGCAGGTATCGTCCCTGCATTGGAGAAGGCTTTGGGCGTGGGGAGAGGCAGGGAGCGGGCTTTCTGTCACAGCACAGGGGGCTCTGGGAGACACCGGCTGACTGATTCAAGATGTGGAATGACACGTACCAACCTGCAGGCATACCAGCTTCCCAGAGTGGAGCCAACGTCCAAAAGCCCAACCTCCGTGTTCTGTCTTGCCCCAAACCCTGGTTCCCCCAAATCCCAGCTATTGGGGTTTTAGGCTCCAAGAGTCTCAGCCAAACATCTCTACCCTGGGTGTCCACTCTCGTCGTCTAGAGCCACAGTGTCCAATTGGAGCTTTCTGTGATGATGGAATGTTCCATCCCATCAAACCCAGGAGCCACCAACTACCAGCTGTTGAACGCTGGAAGTGAGGCTAGTAGACTGGGGAACCGAAGTTTCGATTTTATTTCATTCTACTAAATTTGAATTTGAACAGCCACACGTGGCTGGTAGCTGCCATGTTGGAAACCGCCATGCTGGAGAGGCCTGGGCAATGCACCTTCCAGCAATCCGTGGAGTAAGAGGCCGGGCTCACACTTTCCCAGAGATGAAGGTCAACAGCAAACCTTGGCTTTGCAGGTTGTGGGAGGTGGCCCCAGGAAACAGAATGAAATGTTTGCTCCAGAGAAGCGATTTCGCTGGCAGCCGAGGCCATAGAGGTGTTTTGTTCCTCTAAAGGAAAGGGCCAAAGCACCTATACATCCCCAATAGCACACTGGCTACTTTCAGCTTTCTGTGCCTTACATCACTGAATGCTGCTCAGTTAATAAATAAGGTGCGTGACCGGTAGAGGAAGCCATGTGTTCACTGAGTACCTACTACATGCCAAGAAGCCCTCTGGTCCAAGTACCCGGCCTGAGTGTTGGCTAATCTCGCGAGAGGCATCGAGGGTGACGTGCAACGTACTCAGGCCCAGGAAACAAACACCCGGAATTGGGTCCAATTGGAAAGACATCAGAGCCCTGTGAAAGCTTCCATGGACAGGATGGAAGCTGTGATCTGTTCGATACTGTCCTGTGTCATGCGCATTTGTTAAATGAGCAAACTGTCGCTCCCACGCGTTTAGGCCTGCGCTGCTCCCGCTTTGGCCTGCTTAGATACTCACATGACGTGGAAGTCAAGCACAGTTTCCTGAGCACCTGCTCTGTGGAAAGCACCGTGGGGAATTTTACAAAGGACAATACAATTCGCGTTCTTGCCAATCTGATGAGACTTGTGCCCATAAGCTGGGGGTGAATTCCCAGAGCTCGGATTCCAGCTTTAACGCGTCCCTGTGACCTTGGGTTAGACACTACTGTCTCTGAGCCCCAGCTCCCACATCTGCAGAGAGGGCATCATACCACCCTCTTCCGGGATAACGGAGAGGACCCCGGTCTCTTCCCCATCTCCTGGGTCACCTGTGGCACCAAGCACAGGGGAGACACTCGATTAGCCAGGACTGTGGGCAAACTATGCCCACAGGCTGGATGTGGCCCACCACCTAGTTTTGCACAAGCTGAGCTCGGATGGTGTTTACATTTTATAATGGTTGGTTGGGGGAAAAAAATCAATAGAAGAAGAATGTTCATGACACGTGAAATTCTGCCCAATTCAAGTGACAAAATCCACGAATGAGGTTTTGTTGGGACACGGCCACACCCATTTATTTACCTATGGTCCAAAGCTACTTCTGCCCTATAAAGTCAGGGTTGAGCAGTTGTAACAGTGACCGTCTGACCCACAGGCTGAGAATATTTACTCTCTGGCCCTTTACAGGAAGTGCCAGCCCCTGTGAGACAGGAGGCAGGAGTGCAGATGTGTGAAGCCTACATGATGGTGGTGGTGAATAGCATGCCTGAGGCAGAATCCACACCCTCGTGGCTGCCCTTGACCCTGGGAGGCCCTTTCCGGGGACCGCTTCCACTGGCCGGGTCAGGAAGGGCTTCCTGGGATACAGAGGCCCTGGATGGACTCGGGCTGAGTGGGGTTTGCCCTGGCAGTGGGACCCCACGAGGGGAATTGTAGAAACAGGAGCCACAAGGCCTGCCTGGGGACAGTGAGCCGGCCGTGTTCTGTGTAGCCCTAGCTGAAAGGGGAAAACAGAGGGCTGGGCTTTTGGTGGGGGGCAGGGAAGGGAAGGAAAGTGGGGAAGGGACACAGAGGCAGGGAAGGAGGGAGGAAGGGAGGAAGAGGGGGAAAGAGACGAGGGGGGTAGGGAGGGAGAGGTGGAGAGAGAGGTGGAGAATCAGCTGGTCACAGAAGCCATCGAGGGCTGGACAGGAAGGAGAGGCACCTGGTGATGTCCCAATATCACAACCAGTAAACTTGGCTCATCACACAGAGATGTCCCCCTCTTTCATCCACTGAAGCCATCGGGTGTTGAGCCTTGGCAGGCGGTCTGGCAGGTGGGGGACCTCCCTCCCCCGACGGCTGAGTCTGTGGGGAGAAACCCACTGGAGGAGATTTGCAGCCAAGGTGCTCTCTCTTTGTAGGAAGAGTTTATCTTGACTTGAAGGCAGCTCCCGTTTACTCTTGGTTTCCCTGTAAATTTATCTTTCCTTTTTATTTAAGAAGGGGGAGGGGCGCCTGGGTGGCGCAGTCGGTTAAGCGTCCGACTTCAGCCAGGTCACGATCTCGCGGTCCGTGAGTTCGAGCCCCGCGTCAGGCTCTGGGCTGATGGCTCAGAGCCTGGAGCCTGTTTCCGATTCTGTGTCTCCCTCTCTCTCTGCCCCTCCCCCGTTCATGCTCTGTCTCTCTCTGTCGCAAAAATAAATAAACGTTGAAAAAAAAAAATATTTAAGAAGGGGGAGAAAAGCCCCATAGTGTCACATAAGCAATTTTGAGTATTTAAGAAAAACTCCTTCCCTGCTCAGCTGTCATGTTCACAGGAAGCTGTCAGGCCTTAATTCCGCAAATATAACGATTTTGAAAGTTGCTTCCAGCTAGGGGTGAGGTTCTCCCGAATTTCCTATAAATAGCTAGCTGCTTTCTCTTTTTCCTTCTTTGTACACACACATCAACCAGGGACTCACGGCACGCTTTCCCCCACACACCCCCGCACGCGTGTGCATGTGCACCTCACGCTTACGTGCACACACACACAGCTGCGTCCACCAGCTCTGGAAGACGACTCTCCCCCCAATCGCATCATGGCTCCTAGGCGAAAAACTCAACCCACGGAGCCCCCAGGGGAGCCCCAAGCCTGATCAAAAAGCACCAGGAGTTTGTAAAACACAGATCACCACCGACAGACTTGATTGCTTTTTTGATTAGTGAAAGAATGGATTTGATACACTGCCTCGTCCGATAACGTGCAGTTAATCCCCAGTTGTCATATGGGCTAGAAGTGGGCCAAGAGCTGCCAGGTGATGACGTGGTGACAAAGGCACCCGGGAAGAGAGGGTGGCACCGGGGCTGTGGGCTGGCTGGGGGTGCCCTGTGAACGGAAGGGGAGAGGACCAGGGTGTGGAGCACGTGGCGAGGCAGGCCGGTCACATGCTGAGCCTCATCAGGTTCACGCCTCCCCTGCTCCATCCGCCTGCAGGCGGGGCTGCGTGTTGCAAAAGCCAGCCTGAGGGGACACTCGCTCCCGGGCATCTCTGTTTCCTTCCCACGCCATCCCTGTGCCCAGATTGCGGTTTCCAGCCCAGACTGAGCACCATTCTGTGCATTCTGTGTCTCTACTAGCTTGTCTTCCAAACTCCTTGAACTCACCAGGTAGGAATCTGAAACCAGCCTCTCCCCCCAGCAGGCTGCTGCACCCCCAGGGTTTGCTGTCCCGGTGCCTGGGACCCCTTGTCCCCCCACGCTTGTCTGAACAGGTGCACGGGCGTCGTCCTCGCACCCGGCGAGCGTGGCCACTTCTCCACACCTGCACGGCCGCCACCATCCAGTGCCAGGGTGGCTCCCGACTCACAGGGCTGGCCCCAGTGCCCTCACCTCCCTTGGCTGTCTTCCCTGGCCACACTGTGCCGCGGTGAGCTTCCGAAAGGCAGACCTGGTCATGACATCCGAGGGCAAAGTCAAGCTCCTGGCTGTGACCCCCATGGCTTGTTGTCACCTGACCTACTTCGTCTCCCCCACCTGGACCCTCGTCATGCTTGGCCTTGCATCCAGGGTCCTATGGTTCCTCAAGCCAGCCTCTGCCTCACCTCCTGTCCCCACCTGCTTTTCCTGCTGCTGGGATGATGATCCGCACCCCCCCCCCCCCACTCTTCCCTCAGCCGCGCAGTCCCTCCAATGCCCTCTCCCACTGTCCTCTGGGACTGTTCTGGGCATCAGCTCTTGACCCTCACAGCCACCCAGGAGACAGGAGGAGGAAGGTGCCCACATCACAGCCTAGAAGGACAAGGACCCTCCTAGCAGGTCTCGTACCCCAAGCAGGACCCGTCTCTCCAGAAGCCCCTCTTTGCTGACTCCAGCTCACCAAGGGTGGATTCTGGGAAGCCTCTCCCCCCACAGGGACAGTAAACCAGCTACTCAACATGAGTCAGATTTCCCTGAAACTGAAGCTGAGCGCTTTAAGCATTCAATGTGGAGCCATCTTCCAGGATGGTTTTCTAGTATGTAGTTTAAAGTCCTGAGCCTTTGGAATAACACAAGCAAAAATGAACCATTTATTGCCTTCAGGTCCTGTACCCTGTACTGGGCTGTGGAGACCGGTGGGACACTTGTTGGCCACCGTCATTCAGAGGGTCTGAGGCTCCCTGCCTCACCCTGGAGCTTCCAGTCCCGGAAGTACAGATGGGCAGTGAGCCATGGGAGGGACCCAGCGTGCGGGGCAAGGCAACACGGGGAGGGGGGCATGCGCTTGGGCTCCTTGAGTCCTTAGGGTTCTAGAGGGGGCTTCCCTTCCTCCCTCGATGCTACTTGACATGGTTCGCTCTCGTCAGGGGTCCGCTGTCCCTCTCTCCAGCCTTCATCGATGATGCCTCTCATCTGTGGAGACCAGAGACATCAGATCACCAGGGTGGTTAGAGTAATATCTAAAAATAGAGCAACTAGGTTCTGAGTGAGGCCCTGAGGGTTCCTCTGATTAAAATGCATGAGCCTTGATGTAGAAACGGTGATTTTTTTCTTTTTAACATCATCCTGCTCATTGGATGGTTCTGGGCACTTCTGGGCAGGTGAGGTTGCCCACAGGTGCTAGGGAAGCCCAGGGGAGGGGGGGGGGGCGTGCTTTCTACTTCCTGTGGACTCTCAGAAGGGACACACAGTAGGTGTTGGAGTCCCAGGGAGTCCTCGTGTGTAGTTCAAAGCTGCTGCAGCCTGGCGCACACAGATCAGCAGTGAACTTGAGGGGGGGGTGGGGAATGGAGGCGCAAATCAACCACATTCTTTTCAAGTTCGAGAGAAAGCAGTGGAAAGAGAAGGAGACAGGTGAAGGAGGGAAGTCTGCAAACCCTCAAGAGGAATGAACAGTGAGAAAAAGCGGATGCGTGGCCTTTTATTTCAAAGAGACAGGAGAGAGTTCTTCTCTCAACAATTTATGTCTCTCTCCATTTGGCTCATTACATGAGCCAAAGTAATGAAACTTCCCACGAGAATATGCAGACTCCAAAGGAAAAGAACTGATAAAAGTCGCAGGGTGGGCTCCTCGTTCATGGCAAATGAGAGCTCACAGGAAGTGTCCAAACAGGCGCCTCTCTCGGCAAGAAGGAGTGAGTTATCAAAAATAACAGTAAAAAAAGAAACACGGCGTATTAAAAAACAGAAGAGTCAGGAAAGTATATTGCCTTCTTAATAATAAATACGTTTCGTGGGCAAGAATTGCAAGGGAATCGTTTAAATTAATTTCCGCTTTGTTTGGTTGGTTTATACAGGGTTTGGTCCCAGCTGACAGCAATCTGTAAAAGTTCTAACATATTGGAAATCTGATTTTCTTACAGCCAGAGTCCCGTAGTCCAAACTGATTTCTCTTTCAACTCTGCTAATCAGACAGGGCTCAAATGGATTCCTGGTAGAACCGAATCGCACTTGGTCTTTTGGGGGTATATTAAAAAATTTCTGGTATAAGCTTTAAATGCAGAGAGAGCTGCTGGCCAGTTGTCACTGCAGTGTGGTGTGAGGGGCAGTGGGGGGCGGGGGGTGGCAATGGCCGTGGCTCGGATGAGCAACAAGGGGCCCAGGGAAGACCTTGCCCATCCCCGGCCTGCAAGGCTCTGGTGCCCTGCCTTCTCTTTCTGCCCCACCGATTGTGGAGCAGGTGTTTGGGAAGCCAGGGAAACACGGCAGGAGAGGGAAGGAGAGAGTCCTGGTTTGAAGGCAAAACCCTGGCCACCCCGAGACTCGCATAATTGGGTTCTGAGAGGACCCTAGAGGACTGTCCTCCTCACCAGGCCCCACTCTCCCCCTCCGCCTGCAAGCCCGTCCCCACTGCTGGCCCTGACTGTCCTGTCTCCGGGTCCTAGCGTCCCTCCTCACCATGCGCCCCCCCAAACCGAATCCATCTGTGAAAGATGCAGGCTTCACCTTAGAACAAACACAAATGTGATTGAACAGACTAAATAGAAGCCAGCAAGTGGGGCATGCACGAGGGGCCTCTCGGTTTCTGGAGGTCAGTCCTACGAAGTGCCACCCCCAGCCTCAGAGGTCCTGCCATCCAGGGCTGCCCTGCTCACCCGGTGTGATACCCTTGACCAGGAAATGTCTGGAGAGTGTGTGTGTGTGTGTGTGTGTGTGTGTGTGTGTGTGAATCAATCCCACACACGTTCAGCCCCTCCCCGTACACCAAGGGGTCTTAACCTAGGCTCTATGAATGAACTTCAGGGTAACCCCCAGCCCCTACAATTATGGGCAAAACGCACACGAATGTGCATTCCCGCGTCCCCACCTCTTCTGGGTTCTCATGTGCCTCCATGGCCCCTAAAAGGGAAAGCACCCAGCTGTCCGCCCGGGTTTGCCTGCTGCCTTGCCCACTGTGCTTCTTAGATTCCGACCCGGACCTCGGTCCCGGCCCCGGAGCCAGGCGCACGGGCACCGGCCCTCGGCCTCCCAGGGTGCCGGTGGCGTCCGCGGCCCTTTCTCGCTCCTTCTGTGTTGCGCCGTCTCTCTCTCTCTCCCTTCCTTCCCTCTTTCCAACTGAATTCTCGTTTTTCCTCTCTCCCTAGTGCTTGTACGGCTGCTATGTCCATTCCTCCATCATCCCCACCTTCCACCGGAGGTGCTACTGGCTCCTTCAGGTAGGTGGCTGGGACTGGATTCTTCTTCCGTCGCCGGTGCTGCGGAAGGTCTGTGGAGGGAGCTGCGTGGGCGTGGGGTCCGGCGTGCGGCGGCTTCGGGCGGGGGTGCCCCGGCCAGAGCTCCTAGGGGCATTGGCGTGTGGTGCTGAGGCCAGGTGTGTGGCCAGCCTGGTGTGCTGTGCGATGCCAGGGAGGGGAGAGGCCTGGGGTGGGGGGTGGGGGGGGGCCGTCCTTCCGCCCCATGAGAGTAAAGCCCCACCGGGTGCTTCCAGGGTGGCTCGGTTTCCTCTTGATGAGGACGGAAAGAAGGCTGAGCGTCTGCCCGACTGCGGAATGCCCGTTGGCCGAAAGCTGTGCGTTCACATTCTCTTGTGGGTTAGTCAGTCGTTGGCACGCGTGGAAAATCGGCTCTCAGAGGCATGCCAGTGGCAGCCGGATTGATCGGAAGGGTTGTTGGGAGAGCGGGGGCCCACGGCTCAGCGGGAAGGAGCCCAGGAATCGATCTGTGATGTCTGCCATGCAGGGGGACGGAGAAAGGGGCGGAGGAGCCCCCCGGCCACCCTCGCTCCACAAGGGTGACCTGGCTCCCAGCTCTGTGTCCATGGTGCCCGTGCACAGCCTCACGGAGTCGGGCCTGGCTCGGGGCCGTGGCCGCCCAGCCTCTTGCCTGTTGGTGGTCAGTGGCGGTCAGAGAGCCCGGCAGAGGGTGCCGCCGTGTGAGTGGGAGGGTCCGAGGGACCCATCAGCGAGGCTCGACCTGGTCCTTTGCAAAGCTTGTCCCCGATCGGCAGCCGCTCTCTGTGGGCCCAGGCATTGCTGCCTCTGACCTTTCCCACTGTGGTTCTAACCATCTGTATCCAGAGCAGTTCAAGTGAGCCCGCCCCTGGCCCCGGCGGCCGGAGGAGCTCCCTGGCTTGGGGAGTACGGTCAGGAGGGGTCTGGCAGATTAGAAAGCAAGCCCCTGACACCATGGTGTGTATTCAGAGAGCTGAGGCCTCACGTGCCAGAGCGCAGAGGGGCCACTGGTCCCAGGGAAGGTGGCCTGGAAAGCATCTGCGGGGCCCAGAGCCATCTTGGTGTGGACGCCGAGGCTCCGCCTGGACAAGGCTCTCGGTCTGTCGGCTCTGCCCAGCCCCTGCCTCCTTGCCCTTCTCCCTCAGTTCCAGAAATAATTGTCTGCGGTTCAGCAAGTTCATTAGCAGATGACGCCTGAGACTGTCCAAGGATGTGCTGATTTGCAAAGACACGGCTTCCCTGACATCTTGCCCTGTTGTCATTTTTCGGGTTCCTCTCCCTGGGAGGCTGGGCTGGTGGCAGTGGGGGTTCCTAACTGCTCGGCCCTGCTTCCTTGTGAAAGGGGCCTCCAGCGTGGTCATGGGATGATACTTCTCGTCTTGTTAATGCAAAAGGTTCTCTGTTCCGCCTGGCAGAGGAGTGGAGTGTGGGACCCCCCACCTCGAGAGCAGGGATCTGGTACAGCGGGGGCCATGTCCTTGTGCCCCAGGGTCACGCTCTGGCTGCTGAGAGGTATTTTCACCTTGAGCAGCCTGTGGCCCTGTGAACTCCTCCCTGGCCTCTGAAGGCCCCGGGGCCTGTTTTGGCTTTTTTCCTTTCCAGTTTCGTGCCCCATCCAAATGCCTCTTGAGCACACTCTCCCAATTCCAGGCCTGATCACTGGCCTGTTGGAGCAGCGCCCCGGAAGTCGGCTTCCTGCCAGCCAGGCGCTCCTGCACCCACGCCATCGCCTGTCTCCTCTTGTCCCATCACGTGCTCGCGGCTCTTTGATTCCACT